ATTAAAAATGTTTGAAAATTTATATATATATATATATATATGTATATCATTCAAATGTTTTAACTTCTTATCTTAAATAAAATTAATATCTACTGTTGTTAATTCATAAACAAAATCTTCATTCAAGTTAAAACTCAGCTTAAAAATTTCATTGTTTAAAGCAAAATTGTGTTTCAAGTTTCTTTTCCGAAAGCAAATTTGAATTAAAAAAATCTGATGTGTACATCACATGACTTTCTTGGACGGAATATTAAATCATACGCATTTCCCCTTGCACTTTATTTAAACTTACTGAACTGAATTAAATCTACTTCGCGGATAGTGCATAAATCACAATAGAATAAATGCACTGTTTAAAATTTAGTTATTTGCTATAGCGGCACTCTGGCGCTAGGTTCATTTAACAACGTTACATCTCATTCATTTTATAACGCAGAATGCACAAAAATTATATCATCTGAAGAATTGCCACATGTTTTATTCAAATACTATAATAAATCTAAAACGATTTATAAAAGAAATTAAATAAATAATAAAGAAATAGTTTTTCACAGACAACTGAGTGCAGTTACCTTATGTGCATTGCTCTACTCGTAAACATTCTCCTCGGTCCGAGACATACAGGCGATAATATTTGCTGCTAAAACGAAACACTTATTTCCTCGAATTTCATTAACACCCATTTCTCAAACAATTTTTACAATTAAAATTACAATTTCTGAGCAGGAACAAGCAATTCGGCCACCAAGCAAGAAGGCAGATTTTTCGGCGCGTGAAACTAAAAGTTTTCTTTTGGTCCCACAGGGCAAAAATACAGTGAAGGTACAGAAAGAGAATTGCTATTCTGCTAAGTTTCAAATGTAAACTAATATGGCTGCTATAGTAAAAAAAAAAAAAAAAAAACAGGCTTAGCTGCACTTAAACAACTTTTAAATTGTTGAAAAGCCTACAATTATTGCACGCAGATTAACTAAAAGCATAAAAACCTTAACCGAAAAATAAAAACAACATAATTCACTCATTTTTTTTAAAGCAAAAAATGCACAATTTACAAACACGTAAGAATAAAGAAACTGAGATCACTGAGAGGAGTAACAGAGTGGATATATATATATACATATATTTACATACTTTTGGTGCGGCCGATTGCAACCAAAATACGAGGTGCATATCTACATGTTATAGGAGTCCTATATACCAAATTTCAACGTTCTGAGGCTACTCGTTTTTGAGTTATGCGAGATGCATACGTACGTACGTACGCACACACGCCACGAAATGTTCTCTTCAGAATTCATTTTAAATTTGTTTAAAATGTTTTTTTTTTTTTTTTTTTTTTTTTTTTTTTTTTTTTTTTTTTTTTTTTTTTTTTTTTTTTTTTTTTTTTTTTTTTTTTTTTAGGGAAAAGAGTCCTTTATCCTGTCCTTACGTACAGATGACACGTAGAAACATCGTTAAATTGCATTTGATAGCGGTTAAAATGGATATTTTCGTTGAAATATGGTACCCGGAATTTATCGTGAATGCAATACTTCCTCTACTTCGTACAAGGATATAAAAATAGCATTCAATAGCGATCAAAATGGAAATTTTCTTTGAAATATGGTACACGAAATTTTTCAAGATTACAATACGTCCTTTATTTCGTACAAGGAAGTAAAAAGCATATTACCAATTGACTAAAACTAAACGAAATCATACACGAAAAAAATCGTCGCGACTGTATTCTATTCTGGATGCAGACAGCAGAGAACAGAAAATATTGTCCAGGTATCAGGGAATTTAATAGGCTTTAGATTTAATAGGGTATTGCGTCTATCACATATATAGTACAAAACAATATTTATTGCAAAATACTTGTGTTAAAAAGTGCAGATAAAATAATTTCTTACCCTGATTTACAACGCACTTGTATAATATCGAAGATAAATAAAAGATGCCAGGCACCTTCAGTTGGACTTAACGTGTCCTCGTGTTTTTGATCTTTATATATCATGGACAAAATTTTATAGCTTACTGGATGCTATAACGTCTCTGATTTTATAGCTTACTGGATGCTATAACGGAGTTAAAAAAAAGTCTGAAGGCTTTCAGATTTTATATTACGTCCAAAGGTTCTTTTTTAACGTTTTGTGTGTTATCTTTATTTATTAAAGATCATGTTCTTCTCACTTAAGCTGTAAAATTCAATTCAGCAGCATTATCACAAAATAATTTAAAAAGAGCATGTCTTTAGAATTTCAGATACACAGTCTCGCGCGCTGGAGATAAAAATGTTTTTCATTTTTTTCGTACAGTTTTGCCTTTGAAATCGTTGAGTTTGTTAATAAAAAATTCTTTAAAGTTTTACAAAATATGAAAAAGATAATTAAACAAATTCCAAATTTGGGCTTTCAGACGCCCATATTTGAGTGGAGGACAACGTTATTCAAAATTTGATGTTTCTAGGTAGCGTTCTTTTTCACAGTGCGAGAAGTATACATACATTTATGCAGATGTTTTATTATTTAATTTCTTTAAATATAATGCAGGGCTTTATCTTTAAATATATTACAAAAATTTAAATATATTTGTAATAAATATAGGCAACAATTTGTGAAGTTAAACGCCGTTTATGATGGTTGCTGAAATACTGGAAATACTAAACAAATACTGGGAATAAAAAATACTGGAATAGCTGAAAATATTTGTATCGAATATTGTATTACGGTCTATTTTGTTGACTTGTTTTCGTTAAGGTTGACATGAAAAAGTGTTAATTGAACATATGATAATGCACCTAAAATTCGTATAAAAATGTTAACGAGTTTATTTACCAGATTGTGATTATTGCATTGTAACTACAGTAATTGCGCAAAATCATTTTTCGTAAAATAATAGCTTATTTCTTGAATTGTTATTTAATTAAATGTTTATAAAATTTAAATTGTACGCAGGATAAAATAGTATAAAGTTACCTTTGGGGGGGGAGAAGTATAACAATAAATAAAAATTTCTTAAAACTAGGTGATCGGCGATTTTGTGGCATTATAATTTAATTACAATCGTAAAAAATTCTATTTGATATCTGCTTTCCAAGTTTCAAAGTGAGGATAATAATAAATAATCAGCTGTAGTGGAAGTTACAACATTAAAAAAAAAAAAAAAAAATTACCAACTAGAAAGCAAAGTAATTCATGAACTTGCTAGAGAGATGCCAAGGGAATTTTCAGCTTAATGTTCATTTAGTAATCAATTATTTCAACATAAAAATATTTTAATATTCTGATGATTTTACTTTTCTATGAAATATTTTAACAGAATTCCCATTTCTAGCCATTTTATATACTTGATTGTTATTCAAAAAATGAATAGTGATAGTTAGAAAATAAAGTATTAAATTAGTAATTTATTAAAATGTTAAGAAATCATATAAGCTTAATTTTGCATTGCCACTTGCGTCTTAGTTCTCCTTGTAGCATTAGGTGTATAAATACTTTTTTCGAGTTCTAAATTTTACCGTCAGAAACTCCAACATAATCTGCTCTTGCTTTAAATGGAAAGAAAAATATGCATTTCTGGAAAAACTTTTACCTTTCTGATTATTTTATGTTTCTACATATGTAAAAAATTTCTCCACTGCTTACAACAGCGGCTAAACCGAAAATGCCGCTAATGCATCATCCGGATCATGAAAATAGAAGGACGCTCACTGCGTTCAAATCATTACGTTTGAAATGTTGCAGGTAGCTGTAGATATCCGCCTCGCTCAGAAGATATAATTATTTTTATATAATGCATGGAAACAATTTTATATACATATAATTTTCAACTAACTAACACCCTGTTGGAAATATACAAAGAATATACCTTAAAATAACAAGTTTTTGTGAAGAACTACATTTTACTGCGGTCTGGCACAGATAGCGCGGAGTGTTATAAGGCTGAATCGGAAATCTAGGTTTGGCGACTTATTGCTCTTTTGTGAAAGGGCTTTTCAAGAAAAATTTATATTACCTAATACTTTATTTTCTGTAGTTTAGAGGGATATAGCTACTTGGTATGCTTTAAGTTACATGAATGTTTGATAATAAACTCTTTTTCACAAAACTATATAGAAATTATGTAAATAATATAAAAAATTGTTTATTTTATACATATATTTTTGATAAAAGTATATTCAGAAAGGATACAGCTTTTAATTCAGAAGAAAACTAACTATTGATATTAAGAACAGCTGCACACAGTCTTATTGATCATAAAAGACAACTACAAAGAGAACGAACTGATTTATGCAAACCCTCATATATTTTCTGCTATAAATTTGCAAAACCTCGCTTGTTTCCTATAAATAAAAATGCCGTTCTGCTAATTAAGAGCAGTTTAACATTCTAAAAATGTTTTGGTAAATTTTTATCGAGAGATATTATTTTTTTGGAATATTTACTCTGATCATAATTTCACACAAGTGTACAAGGGAAAAAATTTAAAAAAATAAAAGGATCTGTATAAAAAGCAAACTAAATTGTAGAATTGTTGTGATTAGAAAAAATAATTAAATTAAAGGAATAAAATTAGAATATTTTAATAACTGTTAATAATTCTCTTTTTTAATAACAGGTTAAAAATCGTTTAATTAGCATTAAATTTTTTAAAAAAATTTCATGATAGAGATATGAAAAAAAAACATATCCTTACAAGTATTGCTTTTGTAAATCTCCTCCTGCATAACACATTTAGAAATTACGAAGGAAACAAATCCATCAAATTTTAAACTATTATAAATTTTTTGAGAGAGTTAATAATTAACTCAGATATACAGTGTATATAATCTGAATTCAAGAAAAAATAATGTTAATCAGAATTTAGAATATTGGTGATAAAATTCGTTATTTTAGATTTATTTGTTATGATTTAGAATTTCAAATTTTTATGTTAGGCGATTTTTGGCATCATTCTTGCGAATGGCGATGACAGCGCGCTTTGCTATGGCAACCCGCTTTGACGCTTGCACCGGTTTTTCACAGTGCAGTGGGAAGACGAAGAACTATTGGTGATCGCTTAGCTTTCTTTCTACTGTTAGAACAGTGTTTTTGTTCTTTGTGCACAGTAAAATTACTAGTCTGCACTGACATTTAAATATAGTGCCCTCAGTAAGGATTATTCTTAACACAAAATTCTGTTCTGTATTAAATTCATCCCAGCTTTTGTGATTCTTTGAGGTGTTTATTGTTTCATCAAAACTGGAGAGCGAGTGGTAGCAGACCTTTGGAAGAAGGATGCGGGATTTCAAGCGAATAGGATTGTTATTGTTTGTCGCAGTCTCAGGTAAATATTTTTTTAAAGCCATGATTGTTGTCATAGGTTGAAATATATTATCCATCCAGATATTAATGGAGCCTATTTTGTAATTTTATAAGCACGGAATCGTATGGTCCGTGAATATTCTTCAGAATGTATTTTTCTTCTTTTTTTTAAACTCGTCCATAATAACATTTTGTAGCAGTGTAAAATACGTATTCTTTTAAACTGTTTAAATATTTGTTTTGAAAGTGAGTAAAGCAATTCAAATTTTAGCCTTTAATAACCATTTTCTATTTACTTATTCTAAAGCACTATTTAAGATGAAAAACAGTATAAATCTGTATACATAATGTATAATATACTGTTTTATGTAGTTATTGCTGATCTGTTTAGAGAAAAATGTTGTTTTATAAATAACTTCACTATCGTGAATCTTTGATAAATACGATGTTGAGGGGAATATGCTATGGAATTTTAAGTTCTATTTTTAAAAACTGAGGGGAAAAACTGTGCGGAGCTTCTTTGCTCCTTATTTATAATGTTTTCTATTTGTTAATTGTTTATTATTGGCTTGGAAAATAAAATACAAGTTTTTGCGTATTTTAGAACGAAACAAATACTATAATTCTGTTACATAATAAATATTTCGAATTTTAAAATTATCATCATCTATACACAAAATTCATTCACATTTGTTCAAAAATTCAGTTTTCAGATTTATTTCCGGTAAGAAAACATGCGAAACGCTCAACATGACTGGTAGTTTTGCTTCGAAGCTGTATCGTTATAATTCCAGTTCTCCGTTTATTACGTTACTTTTTAAAAACTTCACTCAGAATTTTATTCAATATAAAAGAATATGTATGAATGGGTTCGTGTTATATATTAGGGAGCCCTCGAACATAAATTTTGGTATAATTTCATTTGATGCAGCGTTTGTAAAGATCGGTCTTGCTCATTTTATTTTATAATGCGATAATTGTCGTGCAGAATTCGTGATACTGTTTTAATGTTTCTTTTTATGAATTTTGAAATTACATTTTTTGCACATAACTAGAATTTGATGAGGGATCGAAATTTAAATAACTTTAAAATTTAAATTAGAGAAATTGGTAATTTTGAAAGACCTTGAATACTTGTTTGACTTTGTGTTACGTATGTTCTAAGCAACGAAAATAAGAAAATCGCAAATTATAAAGTCTCTTAAGCGATTAATCAACGAACAAATTCAGATTATAAGTTGCACTGATTGTTAAACCGATTGAAAATCGATGAGAGTCAGAAAAATATGTATTGAATGTAAAGTTCTATGCCTTAGTACTGTGGTACATGCAAGTACTTTTGCGTAGAGTTCTAGACTCCTAAGCACTAAGAATTCCCCCCCCCTCCAGTTTTTCTTGTAGTTAGACGACGAGAAAACAAGCCTGTTGTTACATTTGGAAACTTCCGTGTAATTCATTTTTGAAGAGGGCTTTGAGACTGCATTATTGCCATCCTTGAAAATCTTTCCTACTATTAAAATGAAAATTGAATAAATGCTTTGAATTTGAAATTCTAATAAACGCTTTGAAATGTTAATTCGTTTGATTACTTAATATTCCTTATTACAGTGTATGCTTCTTCCATCAAGGAAATATTTATAAATCTTTAAGATTTTATGTTTCATCTTAGGGAATGAAGAAGTTTGCTATGAATTTCCATTCGTGCTTGGATTTTAAGTATAACTAGTTGCAGTGACTACTTTGATAAAATTGAAATTTTGTTCCGGGACATGCAAAACATCTGATGCAGTAGCTTGTATGTTATAAAACTAATTTTAACAGAATTCCAGACTTTAGAGACAGGTGTTTAATATAAAAGTATGGAAAAGACGAGATATAAACCTATTGGTGAATAAATTTCATCGTCATTTATTATTACAAAGCTTTGGAAAGTCACTTAAGTTTTAAATGGAATTTAAAAGATAAATGATGTAATGGCATAGTGGTTCTGCCGATCGAGAAATCCTGAATTTGATTCCCCGTCATTAGAAAAACAGTGGCGCCATCTAAAGTAGAAAGAACCTGGCCATTGACTAGCGTAGTGCGTGCTTAGACAGGAACGTACCCCAGCCACACTGACTTAGACAGTTCTGTATTACTTAGCTATTGCAGGCGCAGCGTTGCCACACTGTGTGATGTGTAAAGTTTAAATAGAAAGCGATTAACAGCTTCTATTTAATAAATTAATTATTAATTGCGTATTTGGTTGCATTCGCCTATATAACGAGAATTTTTTTGAAGCAGATCTTGAATAAGTTAATAAATTTCGAAAGCAATTCAATAATTTTCTGATGTTAGTTATTCAGAAAGAAAAAAAGTAAATAAAAGAAGTTTGAAAAAGATTATTTGTTAAAAATTACTAAAAAACGTAACGCTTGTTAGAAATAAGTGTGACTAATAATGGATATCTGAGCTTTGTTTCGGTTGGTTATAGAAGGTTAAAGAAAGTTTCGGTTTTAAAATCGTAAATTATGTATTAATTAAATAATTAAACTCAGAAATCCGTAATTCCTAGATGTTTCATTGAAAATTTTGAATTATTATTAAGTTCCTCTCTTGGTGTGAACAGTTATAAACGTAAAATTTCTGACGCTATTAAGACATGTAAAACAGATGAATTAATAAAAATGGCTGGGATTCCTTTATTTTTACGATGAGTGCCTCCTTGTAACTGCCAAAACTAGTTGGGGTAGTTGCTGCACACTAGAAGTCTTTCATCGTCCTCCTAGTCCACTAGAAGTCTTTCATCGTCCATATTTTTCTAAGCATATGAAAGAAAATCGCTGTTTTTTTTTTATTTAAGTACTACTGAAGTGTTCAAAGACTGTAAAAAATTCCTGTATTGTAGTTTAATAAATATTTGTATAGAAATCTAAATGGAGAGTTGTTTTCAGCGAGTTTATTTAAGCGTGTTGTCACCTAAAGAAAATCCTGTGACAAGAGGAAAAAACTGAGAACATATATTAGGTCTTTTATGCTACTTTATTTGTAAAACCAAAATATTATCTGAATAAATTAAAAAAGCCATCAGTTATTTATAAAATGTTTCATATTTTAGAACAATTGGTGGGGGGAACTAATTATGAAATATTATAACTATTGTGTTGCCATGAGCATAAATATGTGCTCCCGATATCCAGACTTATATAAAAAATAAAGGTTATATGTGTTTTTCATGAGATAGCGTCCTTCCTCATTTATTTTCTTCTAACCCGTAGCAATTTAATAATTAAAGCAAAAATTATTTATTGCCAAGTAAGATCCCATTGACGATATCACCACATACTCTTCTCGATGACGAAGTCACATATGCAGTACCAAGGCCCTACCCCGTGTGTAGCAGATGAAATGGAATTCTTGTGCTAGCATAAAATACCTTACTAGATCAGCTCGTACCACCGCCTTTTTCAATTCTCTCAGAAGCCTGTTTCTAACGTGAAAAATTTTTGAACGGTCGAAGAGGTTTGGCAGAATGCCAGACAGGGATGCGTTATTCATAGTCTAATAGTGCCAGCTCAACATCATCTCTGTTTAAAGGTGTCATTGAAAAAAATCATCATTTGAAAAAACATCTGTTCCTTATTTTCCGTATTAATTATAAACATAATAATCCGAATTTTGTAGGTTTTGATGAAAAATAAATATCATTGGAATTTTGTTTTCATGTTATATTTCGCTGTAGAATTTACGCATGGTTAAAACTGGTTACTTTCTGTTTTAAAGATCAAATATTAAATTTAATGCGAATTTAATACATAAATTATTGAAACTCAAACTTTTTTGTATTATATTTAAAAGAAATAAATTTCTTTTATAATTATTAAGGAGCGGGAAGGATCTTTTTATGAAGATGCTTATCACCCCGCCATCTTTCTTCTGATTTTGCCATTGGTCGTATTTAATCGCCGAGTACAAAATAGAGGAAAACCGGTCTTGGACAGCCGTCATAGATCTGGAAAATTATTCATCCGTATCGTACATTTATCCAACGGTCTAACATTAAATAAATACGAAAGTTTAAAGGATAAAATCAACTCTTTAGCCCAAAGGAGCGTTAGCTCGGAAGGGCTATTAATTTCGTTATGGCATTTTACGTCAATTCACTTTCTGCGTTGATTCACTTTTCAAACTGTTGTTACCAAATATTATCGCCCTGTGGTCTATTTAAAGAAATTAAATAATGAAGAATTTGCATAAATGTATGTATGTTTCTCGCATTGTGATAAAACAGCGGTACTTAGAGCCATCCAATTTTGAATAACGTAATCCTCCTCCGAATATAGGCATCTGGAAGCCCAAATTTGGAATTTGTTTTTATTATCTATTTCATATTTTGTAAAGTATTTATGAGTTTTTGATTAAAAACTCAACGATTTCAAAGCGATCAATGGCAACACTGTGCGGGGGAGGGGGAAATTTTTATCTCCAGCGCGTGAAACTGGAAATTTTAAAGGATATGCTCAGTTTAAGATTATTTTGTGATACTGCTGTTGAATTGATTTTATGTGATTTAAGTTTTTGATTTTATGTGAAGAATATGATATTTAATAAATAAAGGTAACATAAGAAACGTTAAGCGCTCCTTTGGGCGTAATATAAAATATGAAAGCTTTCAGATTTTTTTTTTTTTTTTTTTTTTTTTTTTTTTTTTTTTTTTTTTTTTTTTTTGCTTAAATACGGTTGATTCATTTGTTACAATTTTATACATGATTTACAAGGCATGACTGGCATGATTATTGCCATAGGTAACACTAAAACTACCATGTAACACAGAAGTTTCCTATTATGGAAATTATGTTCTTCACGATGATAGCAAACTTTGCTAGTGGATGAATCTATATTTTTTTCATAATAAATTATCAGCCTACCTATTAGACTTGAGATATCATGTATTTTGTAAATGGTTGTACCAAAACTGATATTTGTATAATCCGTAAATCGGGTTGTTTTGTGTGGAGCAAAACTAAGCAATTTATGATAATA